TTTGAGCTTCTGTGGCTCTGAAGTCTCATTTAGGCAGGGGCATGGGAGCCACACGCTAGGGTAAGCACACTGGAGGCATTTGACCACTGAGTCCACCCAGCTGCTGTTTTTGAAGGCATTCAGTTCAGGTCCTTCCTGTGGTTAATCTTTCATGTCAGCCCACATTTCTTTTTCTGTCGTGTGACATTTGTTTGGACAGCTTTTGCCATAGTATGAAATCACTTTTCTGTTTCTCTGTGGCTAAAAGTAGCTCTCTCTATGTCATGGGCAAAGGCAAGACAAAGTAGGTCACCTTCCAGCTGCCCCAGTTCCAGTTCAGGCTCTTGTTGAAACCTCTCAATGGTCTGCACAGACTCTCCTGCCTAGAAACCGTCTTCTCATTCGTCCTAGAGTCCTATCCTGTTTGAAAACTCTTCAAGGGCCAAATAAGAGCCAAACCCTGTAACCTGACATTTAATCCTGCACACTCTGAATCAAACCTACGTTGTAGGCATTCACTCCTGCAAACTGAAGCTCTGACCAATCTATTGTTAGCTCTTCTCTGCTAAACTTTACACTTTCCCACCTTTGTGCTGGTCATTATTTCTATCTAGTGATGATGCTTTAAGGATCATGCAGGCAAGGTCCTTGATTAATTCAGAGGAATTACATCTAGTACATTCAGGAAAAGTACATTTAGTTGCCGGGGTTCAGGGAAAGACCCAGAATATAAATTGTATTTTAATTGGGCATTCCAGGATGTGATTCAGTAAACGGAATAATCCTGTGTATAGATAAAGAAATTAATACTTAACACATATTTATTTGGAAATTCCTCTTTTGAAATAGATTGTAGCTTTGAAATAAAAATAATAAAGCAATGACAGCCTAGGGTACTATAATAATTAAAGTTCTAGGAATTCAAATCTATACTCTCATTTTATTAAATAAAATGTTTTAGAATATGAAAAACTAGGTAATCCAGTTACTAAGCTGTTTATCTCTACCTCTTTTAGTGTACACTCTGAGATTAAATTTGTTTCAATATAGACATCTATAGAGTTGTACATTTGGACCATCTGCTAGTAGCTTAAATTGGCCAATTTAAATGGTATTCTCATTTTCAGTTCTGATTTCCCTTGTTACCAAGCTATTTATGAGATGATTGGCAGAAACTAGGAGTAAAGTCTAGGATAGTGTTTCACAAAATATGCCCATGAACTTGGTTTCACTAAGACAAATGACTAATTTTTTTTTACTTTGTATTTTATTTTTTACTTATCTTATTTGTATAGAAATTATTCATAATTTTCAGTCTACTCACTGGTTCTAGTATTAAACAGAATATTACTAAATGGCTATATATATATTAGTCATTTGTCATTTGTCTTAGTGAAACCAAGTTCATGGGCATATTTTGTGAAACACTATCCTAGACTTTACTCCTAGTTTCTGCCAATCATCTCATAAATAGCTTGGTAACAAGGGAAATCAGAACTGAAAATGAGAATACCATTTAAATTGTATGGTTTTTAAATATGACCTGGCTATTACATAACTATCTTGAAGCTATGCTCAAATTTATTTCATCTCCTAGTTTAGGATTCATCTTTATTTGAGCTGCATTAGCAAGACTCCTTCCATTTTCTCCTATAGCAACTGCTATTGGGTCTCATTCAAAAAATAGTTTTACTTGTGGGAGAAGTGACTTCTGTGTATTTAAAATTATAGAGAGAAGCAGTGGAGCATGGTGGTTAACGGCAAGCCCTCAGGAGACAAACTGCCTGGGACTAAATTCCAAGACCATTTATTAGCTGTTTATCTTTGCCTAAGGTAGTTAAACTTTGTTTCAGTTTTACCATCTACAAAATGGGGATGATGATAACCATACTTATAAGACTGTTGTAAGAATGGAGTGTATCTATATATAAGTATCCTCTCTCATTTAATATAAAACATATGATATGACATATCATATATATGAAATGAGAGAGACCATTTAGACTATCTTTTACATAATAAGTAGTTTGTAAATAATAAGAATACTGTTATTATTATTATTAGCTATAATTTGTATATGAAGGCCCAAAGACCTTAATTTACTAATAGGAAATAGCTGTTAGTAAATTTGTTTACTGTATTTTTGTTTACATATCTACTGGCAGGTAAATAACCAAAAAATTATTTTATATTTCCTAGAAGTATTTGGATTTTGTCATCGCTGGCACTTTGATTAAGCCCTGAGGATAGAGTTTATAGATTTGTCGCTTGTTCATCTTGACTCACCAGGGGTAACATGTAAAGAAACACTGAACTGGAGGATCTGCCATGGGATGTTTTGGTCTATCTTCCTTCTTCTGCGAACAACTTGTGTCTAATTACAAATACCTATGAGATTTGAACTGTTTGAACTGACAGTCTAAGTTGATCAAATGAATTGAAAAACTGTCAAAACCCTTCCACATTTTGTGTTAAAGACAGATCTCTCAATGAAGGGAAAGAAGGCAGAAGGCTTATCATCCACTGAACTCTGAGTCAGTACCACTCTCTGTTCTGGTTGTGTCTACCTTTATAATCTCCTACACTGGGCCTAGAGTAACAGCTAGGGAACCGTAGGTTTATTCAATCCTAGAGCTGGAAGGGGTTTCAAGGAGATCTCGTTCTAATCTTTTCACAAATGAGGGAACTGAAATTCATTTCATTTAAATCACATATAATTCACATGGATAGGATTCATTTAGAGTTTAAAGGGTGAAATATCAAGGGGATAAGCTTGTCACTTCACAGTCATCAACAATCTCTGAATTCTGAATTCTTGGGCACTAAACAGAATTTCCAAGTTCTTTGGTAGCTGCTTGGTTCTTTGAAACTTGTTGAAAATACAAATAGAATATCATATCTGAAAATTTATGTTTACTACTATTTCTTTCCTGTGGTTTCCATGTGCAAGCAGAACTTCATCAAGAGCTGCTACAGGATTTCCCATCATCACTGAAGTGTAATCCAGCAACTATTACATTCAACACTACAAAACACAGACTCTGGGGTTCTTGAAGCTACTGTCAGGCACTCTTTGAATCATATTTCTTTTGACTTAATTGAAATTAAACTTGTTAGTTTCTTTCCCAATTACACTCTGCTGTGAAATGATATATTTTAGCTTCTGAATATTTCATACTTTTTACCCCATCTCCCTACACATATAAATAAACCTACATATATGTATATAATCACTCAAAGTAGCCAAAGAAATTAATTGGCTGAAAAAAATATTTATGATATGCAATCAAGTATTTATCATAATAAAAGTAATTTATCCTAAAACTCAAAATTATTTCTTTATCTTGACTTCCTTTCCATTCCTAAAAAAGATCTTTCTGTATTAGAGGTGCTTAACTTGCCATAAAGTATAGGTAAAATTCCATACTACTCTGATAACCAATGCTACTCTATTATACTTCAAACTTGTTTTCCTATGAAGGGACTTTGTAACAAAAATTGTATAAAAACTCACAAAAACATGATTCAAGAAGGCAGGGCTTACACATAAAAGAAACTGGCATCCAGCTCTCCTATTAAGAATGAGCAAGTGAAAAGAGATGCTCTGAACCTAATAATGAAAACTGCCTCTCCTGGCTCCCATCCTAATACTTTAAAAAATCTTCCCAGCTAAGAAACTTATTTATTTCTCTTTGTTATATCTGTTTTGAAGCTGATTTAAAATTCTTTAGAGGTCAGTTGGCATTTTGGAGGCAGTGAGTAAAGATGAAGAACTGTCAATAGTTTGCATTAGCCTCTGAGTGCCCACATGGCCTCTCCTCTCTCCCTCATTCTTTCCTGTTTTGTCACAATGTGTAGGGCACAGTAAGAGCTGTCATGGGATTTTATTTTTATTCCTTCATTGAAGTGCATTCACACCTATCTTTTTAGTGATGAAACCTATAGCCCTGGAATCGCTTATTCACTTGACCTCGGGAAGAGTGAGAATCAGCCCTTCCCACCTGCAGAATGCATTCTGAAATCTGCCATTTATGCCCTGACACTAGTTTTTCTCATTAGCTTGAACCTCCCTGCAGCCTACTCCTAGATCTCTTTTCATTTTTTGTCACTATGTTGACTTTATCTAAAAAAAAACACAACCCCACAATAAGCCAAAAACAAAACTAAACTAAAACCAAAACCAAAATGCTCTTCTATGAAGGGTTGAAATGCAAAGTAAAGTGTTTTTTTAGGCCAGGTAAGAGTTTATGCTGACTCATCCTCATGTGCATCCCCAAACCAGGAGCACTTGTTTGCTGTGGTCAGGATTGCAGGCAACCTGTGACTAGGGGATGGGAAGTAGCCAACTGGCCCTCACTGAAAAATACTACATCCATGTCTTATTGGCACATGCATTAAACCAACAGAGTTAAACGTCCCTAAACAGTTATATCCAGCCTTTGTGAACTCAGTGCCTCTAAGTCCTCTTCTTCCAATAGTTTGGCTCTTATGCTGGTATCTGAACAGATTGTAAAGTGGGAACCAAGTGAGTTTGGAAGCACATATGGCCAAGGTGAAATGTTAACAAGAATCATTCAGACCTCAAATTTGAAACTACAGAAAAAGGGGAGGAGAATTGTTTTCCTCCATAACAGACGGATAGGGTCTGAATTGAACTGAATCAAAATTAGCCAGTTTTGAAGCACCTGTGGGAGAGCTTTTGTAATTTCTCTGTGGCGATTCACAAACCACTGGATACATAATGCTGTACTAAAAGGAATTTAAGCCTGTCAGGTTAATTACACAATATTAGGTACGAAAACAAACAGTGCAACACAAAACATAGCTACATCATTATTTGCAGTAAATGTTAACTCTAAATAAGTGCAACCTGTCCATAAATGCTTGCTATAAACTAATTAAAAAAATAAAATTTGATGGATAAACATGAAAAAAAAATTCTCACCGAGAATTTTTTTTTTAAATATCAGCACTCATTTAGAGTTTGGGATTTGTGAAAGAAAGCTTTAAAAGGAGCAAACCTGATTGGCTGTGGCTGTTGCTGCGAAGGGGACACTTGTTGCAGGAGTTGTTGCTGCAGAGACAGTGGCTGACGTAGCGCTGTGCATCATGGGTACTTTCAGGAGGGGAACCATGGGAGCAATGAACAGGAGGGTGTAGCATTATGGTAATAGAAGTGGTATTTTGGCATGGTGAATATCAGAGCAGCAAGCCATCATGGGTTAAACCAGCAGATGGCATGCAATCACAATGCAAAGCAAGGAAGCATGGGAGAGAAATAAAAAAGGGAAAATAGCTTATTACAAGTACAATTAAAGGAAGTTTTAAAACATAATCAGTGATTCCCAGAAAGGCCAAAGCAGATTACTTTGGTTGATGTATTTACAAACATTTTACTTCTAACAATAGATCATTCCCAATTCAGAGTCTATAGTGTTTGTAATAAAGGTTGCTTCTAAACACGTGAAATGTAATGTCCAATTAAGTAATAGTATATGATAGTCATGGTTAATCATACTTCCAAAATATCAAAGATACAATATGTAGGCCTAATTTGGGATATGATATTCTTCAGAATTTGTGATTAAGTTGAAAAAAATTGTTTTTTGGTCAATTTGGGGCTACTTGTTTGAACTGAAATTACCAGGGATTATGGTTTATATGAGTCAATAAACTATAGAGCAAACATCATGGCCTTGATGTATATTTTAACACAGTTACTACGAAATAGCCAGACAAGTTTTGCCAAGGCTTACTTTCCTTTACTCTAAATGGAACGGATTCATTGTCCTAAAGACAGGCTTTTGCACCAAGGCGCTGGGATGTATGGGGATAACTATATACTATTAAGGTTAATATACCAAGGGGATGCTAATGTATAAATATTCATTGCAAATAAATCAACACTTAAAATTAAAACGAATAATAAGCAAGGCAGGCCAGATATTTGTTTTCAAAATACATCCATTTATAATTTTTAAAAAATAAATACTTCTGGGAAACTCTGATAATTCTAACACACAGCAAAGAGGAGATAAAGGCACACCACCATGAAACTTTAAAACATTGATGAAATCAGCCTGCCTCTCTGATCAAGCTTTTTTTCTTTTGCTAAACCATGTAAACTATAAAGAAAAACAAAATACAGATCATTTAAAAACAGACTCATACTTGTGGTTTTATGTTTTGTAGTGGTTGTCCTAGCACAGTGGCTGTTCTAGTCACATCAAAGCAGTCATTTTCTTAAATAGACAAGTACATTTAACAAACCTATACATTAACTCTAAAGCCAAATAAGCCTTCAGGTCTACCATTTCCTAAAGCATTTCTACCACCTCTGAAATAAATTTCAAGCAAGTGAAGTATTATACATAATATAAAAGACAAATAAAAAAAGGTTGAAACCTACCAATACTGGTAGCGGGTGTCATGCACAAAACTGACCCTGCATGGCATGCAATGGTAGGTGGAAAAAGTGAATAAAGGGAAAGAAACAGGTTAGCGGTTTAGAGTTAACATTCAAAGTGAGATTGAAGCACAACCAGAAATAAGTAGGGTTAGTTAACACAGTCTTTTAGCGTTATTCACATTTTCAGCACTGACACAGCTATATCTGATTTATTTTAAGCCAATATTACTCAAAGCTCACTCCTTAGACTACTGTTCACACTTTCTATTCATATACATTGACATAATTCTAAGAATGACATGTGATAATGCTGCAGTGGCCTTCCTCAAAGACCTCAAAGTACTTTACAGATATCATCAAATTAATCCTCCAAGGTAAGAAGTAGATATTTTACAGATGAAAAATCTGAGGCATGGTAACACTATCCAAGGTCATGCATAGTGTGAGTCAAAGGTAAGGCTAGAAATAGAATCTATTCCTGAATCCAGTTCAGGTTTTGTACGCACAGAGTTATGCTGACCTTGTTGCATTATAGTTTGCTTGTTTGGTCGCAAAGTGTTTTGTGTCAATAACAATATGATAATAAAAACACTCAATAGTTAAAGACTCTGGATCCTCCAAATCAAAGGCTTGTAGGTCAGGTGAATTTTAGATTACTGCTTAAAAGCCCTACAATGTAGGAAGACTGAGGTTCCCATGGCAGAATCACCTGGATGTGTATGGGATCTATTTTCTGCTACCACATTCATTATGACAAAGGAGTGGTGCCTAGCAATAAATCTAAACACTGTAGAGGCAAAAGAATGCAGAATTGGGGCGGAGTAGAACCAGGGTTAGGAATCTTTGTCATAGCTTGCTATTAGGTGATCCCTGATGGGGACCTTTGGCAAAATTCCTAGGAAATGTCAAGTTGATGTCTAAGTGGGTAAGTGGGAGGTGGGGAGGGAGGATTTTAGCCCTTCCTTGGGAATAATTGCCTTGGCTGTGGGTGGTCTTATTAATGTTCTTCAATCAGAAAAACATGACCACAAATACTAGTGTATATTGTGGAGGACTGAAAAAACGAACAAAACCCAAACTGTATTAAAATAACTGTGTCCTTCTGGTTTAGTTCCTTAGGATGAAAATCAAAGCAATACAAGGATTTAGGTAATTTAAGATTGGGCATCATATGTAATGAATGTAGGTGTGCCCACTTAGGTTTAGAACTTCCTTCTGAGATACCAGATGCAGAAGCTGAGATATTTAGGTCTTTATTCTCTCTGCTGAACTGTTTATACCTGAGGCAGACTTTTTGCCTGGTCTGCATTTTGATCAGGCTAATATTAACTGGTCAGGAAAAGAGGTTATTTAACTGGACTAGTACTGAATTCTTTAAGCAAACATGACAATATATCCAATTATAAATACACACATAGCTCAGCTGGCATGGCTCAGTAGTTGAACATCAACCTGTGAACCAGGAGGTCATGGTTCAATTCTCTATGAACCAGGAGGTCACAGTTTGATTCCTGGTCAGGGCAGGTACATGCCGGGTTGCAGGCTTGATCCCCAGTGCGGGGCATGCAGGAGGCAGATGACCAATGACTCTCATCATTGATGTTTTTATCTCTCCCCCTCTCCATTCCTCTCTGAAATCAATAAAAATATATTTAAAAAAATAAAAATAACATACACACAGACCCCAACACCTCAAAATCCTGTTCCTGACATTTCTGATTTTTCTCCAACCTTATCTTTCTAATCTTTTTTACAATCAAATTTTTCAAAAGTTACCTACACAAATTTTCACTTCCTTGTCCCCAATTATTCTTCCATCCTCTCCAATTTGGCTTTCATTTTGGCCTCTCTATTCAAACTGCTAATGCCACCAAAGATGTCCATATTTCAGCAATCAGTAAGAACTCTTTCATCTTCACCTAACTTTCTGACCTCAGTAGCATTTAGCACTTGGCTACTCCATCCATAGAAAACTACTTTTTTCTTACATTTTCTAACTCATCTCTCTCTCTCTCTACACACACACACACACACACACACACACACACAGATTATAAACTGATAAACAAAAATTCACTGAGTGGCCAGATTATTATGACCACCCCAGCAGTACTTCATTGGGCCACTTTTTGCCTTCAGTACTGCAGCGATTCTTCTTGGCTTTGACTCCATGAGATGTTGAAAGGTGATGCGAGGAATCTGACACCATGCCTGATGAATAGCACTGTCCAGTTCTGTGAGATTTGATGGTTGTGGAACCAGCTGCCTGATGGCTCTTTTAACTTTGTCTCACAAATGCTCAATTGGATTGAGATCTAGTGATTGTGGGGAGCCACCTAAACCAGGTAAAGTCTCCCTCATGTTCTTAAAACCCCTCCTGCACAATACGAGCACTGTGGCATGGCACATTGTCTTGTTGGAAGAAGCCATCTCCATTGGGATATGCCATCAACATGATAGGATGAACTTGATCAGCAATGATACTTAGGTATGTTGTGCTATTCAGATGTTGTTCCACACGAATTAAAGGGCCCAAATCATGCCACGAAAACATGCCCCAAACCATAACACTGCCCCCACCAGCTTGAAGGGTTGTACTCATGCATATGGGGTGCATGCTTTCATGCTGTTTCTGCCAAATTCTCACTCTGCTATCTGCATGATGCAACTGGACGTGATTCATCGGACCACATGACTTTTTTCCAATGCTCGACTGTACAATCCTTGTGTTCCTGTGCGAATTGGAGACGTTTTATCTTGGTAACTGCAGACAGCAAAGGTGTTCGAACAGGCCTTCGGCTTCCATATTCCATATGATGCAGTGTATGGCTAATTTGCCTACAAATGTCAGGTTGTCATAATAATCTGGTCACTCAGTGTGTGTGTGAATATATGTATATTCAGTTCTAGTTTTTTTTCATCTGCTCTACTTTTCCCTGGTATATCATTCAATTCATAATATTATTCAATCCAGGATCTAAATACTATCTATGAGATCAAGCTACCAGATTTATCTATCCTTCCCAGTTCTTTCCTTTAAGCTCCAGGTCTTTTTATCTATCTGCTCACCAGGCCTTTCAACTTGCATGTCTGACAAGTGTCTTGAATTTCTCATGTCCAAACATTGATCTTTCCCACAGAATGTTTCTCCACCTCAGGAAATGCTAAATGGACATCGCCATCTATGTAGTAACTGTAGCTTAAAATGAAAGCTATGCCTGATGCCACTTCCCCTTGTGAAACTTCCTGGTCCAACTCACCTATAAGTAAAGCTACCTTGCTTCTAAAATGTGCCTTGTATTTGTCTGTTTGTCCATCTCTACTGCCATTTCTCAAGTTTTGATCACTATTGGCTCTAGGCTCAGCTATGCAATAATAGCCTAACTGGTCTTCCTGCTTCCCTCCTTGTCTTTGGCTTGGTCCATTCTCCACTCTGTGGGCAGAGTAAACCTTTCCGAATACAGCTCAGTTCACTTCTCTGCTGGAAACGACTCATTGCCTTCGCATTGCTTTTAGGATAAAGGCCACCTATGGTCCTGTCCTGACTACCTCCCCAGCTTGTCCTATACCCCAGTCCCCCTAGAATCACGACCCAGACAGTTTAGTCTTTCATTTCTTTCTTTTTCCTTTAGGGAACAGGTTGAAGTTTATTGATTTTCGATTGATGAAACAGCCTTTCATTTCTTTGAACTAAACACAGCACATCTTTGTCCTACTTTTGAGATTCCCGTAAGCTGTCCCTTCTGACTAGAATAATCTTTACCCCATTCTTTTCATCTTCCAGGTTTAATGGTACATGTCACTTCTTTAGAAAGTCGTTCAATTGTTCTTTTACCTACCTCCATATGCCGTTTAAATCAGCTTTCTATTTTAAATCTTACTGAACTCTTTACTTTTTCATTCATAGTACTAATAGCAATTTTTAATATATATTTCTATGGGTATTTCTTGAATATCCATCTGTCTTCTCACTTATTGAATATCCGTCTTGTCCTCTGGGAGAACAGGGTTTGTTTATGTCTGTCTAGGTCTATCTACACAGTAGATAGACAATTGGTTGAATGAATGTTCTCAGCCATTCGTGAAAGTGTGATGGGAGCAATTTGTTCCTAAAATTTATTTAAAGTACCCAGTTTGTGAATGACTTCATTTTAAATCAATTGTGGCTGGATTCAAAGTTATCCCTAAAAAATTCCATGTTATGTCTCTGCATTCCAATAAGGAGGGGCTTTCTTGGAGGGCTTTCCTGTGTCGTGCATGTGAATGTCATTCGTTTGCAAACCGTCAGCAGCAGCTCCTGCCACCATACTGGGCTAGGATTGGACACATCACATTGGTTCCAGTTCAGGCTATGGCTGGAATGCTCAGCCACATTAATTTGATGAACCGCGATCTCCACGTGGCCTAAAAGTGATATGAATATCGGAACACATCTGGTCCTGATCTTGCTTCCTAGCCCCATCTCTGCCTTTTCATTCCACGCTGATCTCCCCACCCATCCACAGTCCCTTATGTAGTTTACATTGTAGCTACAGTGGACCACTTGCTATTTCTCAGTACATTCTGCCCAACCCATGCTGTACCCCCCTATCAGGGATGCTCTTCTATCATTAGTTAAATCTTCCTTATAAAGTGCTAAGCAAAGTTCTGCTATGGAAAGTCTTTCTTTCTCCTCATCCTTTGTCAACCAGTCACGGCACATGCCTTTTTCTCCTCCACTCTCAAACAGCTGTGCTCATATCCTAATGAAGGCCATGCTTTGTCTTCCATTTGTTTTTGTTTTTTTCTAGTTCTGAACTCATTTGTATCCTCATTATTGGTTCTGGAACCCAGAGCACATTATGTGTTCAATTACTGTTTACCAACTTGAATAGGACATATAAATTTTGCTGTGTTTTTATATAGATATAGTTTCCGCTACACACTGACTAATCTTTCATGAAGATATGTGATAACCTTACGTAACATTATGGTTTCTGATCACTAGGCAACATTTGTGCTACCACCGTTCCATGTTCTACTTATTCCATATTTCCAATATAATGAAATAAGTCAAGGAGGGGGGGTCAGTGGGTCATCTTTGTTCTCATTGGCTGAAGAATTTCGCAAAGGCACTAATTCTCATCAACACAGCCTCAAATGTTTTCTGCTTCCATTGCACAAACATTTCAACTCTAGAATCTGTGAGTCAGAATTATCTGGATAATTCCACTAATTATATATCACACTTTGCAGCATAGACACAGCCTCAGTTTTTCCATCTGCAAAATGCAAATAATTATGCCTGGCACTGGCAGAACTATCTTGAAGAATAATGTGATAATGTCTATAAGAACACTTACAGTAACTCAGAATAAACCTGTCAGAGAAATGCCAAGAACTAGTATGCTACTATTTTTGTAAATGTGTGTGGTTTTTGCCACTTTCCTAACATAGCAAAGAAAAAGTATAACTACTAGGTTAAAATAATCTCTATCAAAAAAAGGGAAAAAAAGCAAAAAACAAAAAATAAATAAAAGGAAAACTCCCACCCACTGAAAATGTGCTAGCGCATCAACCAGGGTGATAATTATATTAGCAAGGTTGGGAGAAGAATCCCATATTTTACATAATATTTTATGTTAATATCTCCAAAGACTGAAGGCAGAATTTCTGAAATCCAAATTCACATTGTGTCAATGGGAGAATTTTAGTAGCATAACAAAAACTTCACTTATGAATGACCTGTCAATTAAGGGCAACCTCCGGGAGAACATAAAATGCTTTTTGTTTCATATTTACGACAATTGTTAAAGTGTTTATTGAAAAATCAAAATGTGTCATTTTAAAAATAATGGGCCCACCACCTACTAAGTCGCAAAAAAATACTTTTGAACACCATCACTTAATTTGAAGAGATTTCAAACAATGATGATTAACAATGAAAATTACCATTATCATTTAAAAATTAGGCTGAAAATGTGATTTGTGAGGAAGAAAGCCTAAAATAAAAACTAGAGGCACAATAACACTGAAATTATGCTATGGATGTAAGTGGGGGGGGAAGATTATGCTACTAATTCTTTTGTAATAAAACTATTTTATCTTTCATCGTTTAAGAGAAACATGTGAAAACTTCTTAGAAGTTGAAATGCCATTTCAGAAAATGAGATGTACATCTTTGTTAACTATGATATTAATATAATGTTATAGTTGGAAACATGTATAATTCACAGAATTAAGTGAACTTGGCTTCCAACAGTCCACTCAGTTGAGGGTTGCTGGACACACTTAAACAGTTCTTAAAGAATCCAGCAGAGGGCAGAAGTGCACAACCATAGCAGCCAGTTCAGCCTATTGGTCCTCAATGCAATTCATTTCATCAATAATAATCAAGTCATTGAATAAGGGATGATATTCATTCTTGCTTTGGAAGTCTTTAAATGGTTTCCAGGTGAACCATTTTAAGATGAGCATTCTTTCAGTGCTTTAGCAAATCAATCATTATTGGATTGAAGTGTTAAATATGAATTAGAGGGCTTCAGTCTTTTGCATGGCTTAGCTCCAGGATTTATATAGACATGCCCAGGAAATGGTAGTGGCATTATCATCCAGTCTTCAGAAATAGACTTGTCTTTTTATGTTTTTCCCCTCAGTATATTCTTCCTTATTTTTTTCTCCTAAAATATCTAGTGATGGGGTCTATAAAATAAGGCATTTGTAGAAATCACACAGGACCCTGAGGTAAGTTTACCTTCTAGTAATTATTTTACAAACATGTCATATCCAATGGATTGCATGTACAGACACTGCTGTGCTATTACTGCACTGAAGTGGCACTAATTAAGATTGTAATAAACAAAAGTGAAGCCCTAATAAGTGCTGACTTAGAGACTGACTCTACAGGTCTATGAACATTTTTTAAGAGTAGAGCAGAACTAAAATAAGAAAACTAAATACTAAGAACCATTTTACTTGTAATTTATATTTTTACTATAAAATATATTGTTATAACAGGTTGTAATTCATTTCAAAGTATAGACTTCATACAAAGAATACATAGAAATACTTATTCAACTCCCTCCTATGTTAACTGTTGATATACTATGAGATTTAAGCAAATAGATAATGAACCTGAAAAGTCCAACCACATGGATTAGGATCAACAAACTCTTTTTGATAAAATTGTTACTCATTTACATTTACCTTTAAGTTACTATCATGGAATGAAAATTTTGACTTTGAAACTAAGAACACAATGGACAGTCTTCTCACTAAGGGCTAAGTCACTCTCTGGTTGGTGTTTTTTGCTTGTTTTTTTGACACTCTAGAAAATATTATGAGACTATTATTCCTGCTTCTGATTCTAACACAGACTAAAGGTCAAAACCACAGTCAATTTATGGTGGCTCCTTGTTTCTGTGTATGGTGTATGTAAGTCTGTGGTCGGGGAGGTGGGTAAGAAATGGAGGAGGGTTGACATGCATTGTACTTTTGTTCCTTATATTTGATGGTTTATACCAAGCTTTAAAGGAGAACTCTGTGGTCTCCACACATGGAGACCCAGGGAATGTCTTGTCATGTAAATTGAACCGATCATAGAAAAACTAGGTTTTAGCTCTTTTTTTTTCATTAGTTGTGCCATCTTGGCAAGTCATTTCACATTTGCGGGGGGTGTGGGGGCACCTCAGTTTTCTCATCTGTAAAACAATAAACTGGATGAGGTCACTAATAATCTTTCAACTTCAAGATTCTATGATTAAAATGATTCATCTTTTAGTGGAATGATAGAGTTAATGCATCTTAGTATCTAATATTATCAGGCATTGGCTCTCTGTATTGTAAACGTGGTGGAAGTTGAGAAGAATGGTGAAAGAGATAGAATGGATGTAAAAATATGAGTAGAGGATTGCTTTAATTTGAATAGCCTCATTTTTTAGTGCTCTGAATAGGAATAGAAAAGAAAAGGTTAGTATTTATAGGAATCGCTTTTTTTAAAGTCATTCAGGGTTAATGACAAATTTCAATTGTCACACATAGAAGGTCTTATTTACATAAACAATTTTACACAACATGTGTGTAAATACAAGAAACCAAAAGGCTTAGGCTATTTGCTTCTTACGGGTTTAATCTGTCACTTGACTGTATAAAATATTTGGCTTTAGAATCCTAACAGTCCATAGCTATCATTCCAAGCAAGGCAAATATATATATATATATATAGATAGCTAGGACAATGATGAGTTTCAGGCTGTATTTATTGTACCTTTAAAAGCAAATTAGATGCCACCAAACAGCTTAGAGGAATGAGAAGAAAGCACATGACCAGAAGGGCACACAGACACAGGACTTGGAACGGTCAGGGCACATACCTGTCGGAATAAACGCGGTGTGTTGCTGCAACTGTGCGCTGGTCAGAGCCTGCTGGTAGTGCAAGACGCTGGGATTAAAGACCGTGCTGGCACCGTTGCTTTTTTCAAGTGCTTGTCTCTTTGGTAAAGGATGAAGAGCACCAGGTGGAAAGGCCTATAAGTGAAGAATCGGACATGATATGTATAACTCAAAGTAAATACAACTTCAGTGTCCACAGAGATCATCAATTGCAACATTTTTTTTTTTTAAATGACAGCTAAGGAGATGCCTGTGCCATGCACCTTAATTTAAACAGCGGCAATGTCGAATGAGTGAGAATTCGTTATTGAGAGCGAAAGCATGATTTCTGTAATCCAAAACAGTAGCATCTCAACTAAGGAAAAGAAAAACTATCAAGCAACAACAACAAAAAATGGCTCCAGCTTTTTAAATGAGTTAAACTATTCTAAGGAAGGAAAGAAGCATTTGTGTTATCATTAATTCTATTTTTTACTTTAACTAAATGATCATTTCTTGAATTTAAATGTTAATAAGAATTATAATAAGCATCTTCTGAGCCAAGTAATTTAAATTTGCTTTACTCTTTTGGAAAAGGTATTAACATTTGTTAGGATTAATTTATTTTACATATTATATATGAAAATGAGATGGCTAAACACCTTATTGAATTTTTCATTAATTAATAATAATGATTTTTTTGCAACCAATATTTTACAAGTAATACAAATCTCAGATGGTTCTCTGAAAGGCTACATGCAAAGCGAAAGGTGAAAGGTCAAAGTACCAGGTCTACAGATGCTTCGAGAGGTCGCTTCATTGCTTTGGCAGTCGACTGAGTCTTTTAATAACAGGCAGCGAGCACATGATGGCAGTGGGCCAATGGGATTCAAGCGAATTAACATACAGGTAAACAGCAAGCAGAGGTGCATCATGGGAACGGCATTGCATTGTGGATAGGTGAGAAGGAAAAAAATATTCTGAATGCAATATACAACGTACAAAACACTAGGCATGCACAACAACAAAAATGTTCTCTAAAGAAATGAATATTACACCTTAAATTAGTATTGAAGCAAAAATGCATCTACTATACCTTAGTTAAAAGCATATAAGAGAGTAAAATATAGATGTTTGAAATTCAGGAAAGTTAATCAAAACAGCAGCTTGCATACACACCATAAGCATTTTTTATATTGCTTCAGAAAAAAAAAAGCAAAACTTTTAAGGGTCATAGGATTGAAGAACTTCTGATAAGTTAGTTTTCAAATATTAAATAATCAATGTGCGAAATATATAGAACCCAAGTAAAAAAATATAATATCTTAAATTGCATAAAAATAATTTTTAATGAAGATCTAGCCTAACAAAATGAAGTGGCAAACTGAGACAAAAAAATTCAGGCAAAAAAATATTCAAACACAAGATTATTTAGGCAAAACTGTTTGGGTTTGGATCTTAATTTTTTGTCTGAATCATGTGGATAATTGTCTCAATTCTTCTCTTCACTCTGCTAGCATGGATTGGAATAAGGTTCCAAATTTAACAAATTTTGAATTTGAATAGTAAGTTTCTCAAATTTCTCTCTTTTATTCTATTGTACTGTTTCTAATGACTAACTTATCATCCATTCTAAGTTTTCCACTATATTTGAAATTAGAATTCAATTTATCTCAAACAACTTACCGGATTATACTAATAAAATACCTTTAAAAAAGGTATTTAGTGTTTTCAGCTATCAAAATAATTTATATTTAATAGTTCTACTTGTACAGTTAACTACAATTAGCGACCAACCCAGTTAATGAGATGTGGAACTCTAGAATAAATACAATAGCCAAAAAGAACAAACAGCTAAAAATGGCAAAGTACTGCTTGAAATAATAGAAGTGAAATAGTATCTATAATCATACTTTTGGGAAGACAGTTTCATTTAAACAGTTGAAATAACAACAAATATTGATTGATTTAGACCACAATGAAATTTTTTTCTATTCCTTGGTAATTGTAAAAAAATCTAAAAATTTGATGATGAAATTCTGTGAAAATAAACAAATTTAAAAGAATAACTCCAATGCAAATAAAAAATGAAGTACCCATTTTTAATGGTTAGCACAATAAGTAAATCCCTAAGGTTTGTATAACAAATATAAATGTTATGTTCTAAAGTTCTGAATTCGAACTATGACATTTGAAATAAATTAAAATAGTACTAAACTCTCAAAGTGGGAAACAGTAAATGATATTTTCCTTGGAAAATAAAGGGTTGTTTATCATCATTTGATGATTCAGGATTAAAAGTATAGAAATGATAGAAAATCATTCCATAGAAGAGGTATGGGGTGGGGAAAGAGCTAGAAATAAAGTGGAAAGGACTATAGAAGAGGTTTAGAATGGGCAATGGAGAAAATGTTTTGGATGGCAGTCTCAATAGAGGCCATCAAATATGAAATCATTGCTCTAAAAGTAAAATTGTGAAGGTTTTTATAAACCAATAAGCTCTATAATAAGAAAGCTTCTTTATACTGAATATTCTTTCCTCCAATGTAAATTCTCCATTAAGTAGCTTCCATGACACCCCTTTTACTTAAACTCTTTCATGCCTGTATAGTTTTATATTGCTAAATAATGCATTTTCTTTAGCTTAACTTAGTCTGTGCTAATTATATAAGGTTACATAGTGTGTTCTCCGAGTGCACTGAGAACATTAACTGGATGGTAAACTCAAGGTCATTTTGACCTCAATTCTTCCCTTCACTTTTTCAGTCCTCAGGAGTTATAGAACACACCCACTGTTAGGTTGATCTTTATGCTAACTAGATATGTTAACTAGAAGAATATTGATGAACAACATTTTGATTTAAGAAAGAATCATTTAATGAAGTCTCTAAGTAGAAAAGGAAATATTAAATATTTCTCCGGGGAGGTACATGTTTTCTTTTTTTCTGATACGTAATTGTCACAGAAATTATAATAATCTAGAAATGTAAAGAAACGCAGATCTCTAAACTGAGCTGGATAATGAGCATCTTCTTTTCTACCACTCCATATTGTAGGTTATCTTTGCTAGATGCAAACAGCTTGTCTTCTGGGAGAATCAAGCATACATAGTAATATCTCACACAGCTCACACTTTGAGGCACACGAGTAGATTGCATTTAGAAATCTGTATGGATGAATAATCATGTTATAACACAGCATTCTAGGACACAGATGTTCTGATGTAGAGGATATTATTTGACTGATATTATTTACTATTATTGAAAGATCTTTAGTATTAGAACAGACTTTAGAGATCACCAAACCCAGTACATCTTGGGAGCTTCCTTAGTCACCTATGCAGAGAAAGGTTCTCTTTAATTGAGCTCCTACTATGTGCCAGACACGTGGCATTCATTCTTGCTGGCCTTACCATTTACATCCTCTGCCCCCGCTGGGCCTTCTCCAGCTGGTGCACATGCAGCCAGATTTTACTGTGACCGGATCGAGAAACCATCCAACTATGGGCTGAGGCCAGCGGACTAAGGGCCCATGTCAGGCATCACAGGCCAAAAGCAGATCTGAGGAGTCAGGAAACCCTGACAACAATAATGAGTGCTGCCTCTTTAACATGGAACAAAAGGAAGTGAACAGGCAGTGTGGAATTCAAAGTTCCGGTACATGTTTTACAAAATAGGTATCTCCCCGCGTAGCCCCATTTTTGTGTGTAAAGCAAGACTGCTCTCTTGAAGATCAGGGACCCTTCGTGTTACCAAAGAGAAGCTCTGTCTGGCTTATCTTCACAGTTTGAAAGTTCTAGAGTAAGAATGCTTTGACTTTATCCAAGTGCACCTAGGCTGGTTTCTAATGAGCCTCTCATGTCACTAAAAAGATATGACAGATTCAGTCATTTCCTTGTCATTATCAGAAAGAAGCTGGCGTTTGATCTAAAACTACATTCCTCTGGGTGGTCTTTGATGCTGCTGCAAGATTCCCTGAAATGATGGAATTCCAAATTTGGGCACAATGTAACAATCCAGGAAACTATGGTAACTAAACATACTGACATTCACTCCATTAACGTCTATGCGTCTTGATGAGTATGACATGAGAATGCGCAGGAAGGCACAGTAATACAGTCTTGATTTAAAGATAACAGGCTGAAGAATGACCTTTTTGTGTAAGTGGCCATTTCTTCTTTTATCCCCATTAACCCAGGTCATCTACCATTTATCTATAGTAGGCACACTGTTCCTTCAGAGGTGTAAGGTGTGCCAACCCTGGTCAGCGTTGTATAGAGAAACTGGTCTTAGAGAATGGAGCTGACATGCCCAGAGAAGCATGTATTCAAGCAGACTGCTGATGAGCCAGAGATCTCACATGAACACAGATTTATTAGAACCTTCTTCAACTTTGGCCAGTGGTTCTTAAACTTGGCTGCACATCAGAATCCGTTTTTTAAAAAGGCCACTGCCCAGGCCACGTCCAGACCAGCTAAATAACTTTGGGGGAAGTGACTGATGTTTGAACTTCTCAAGACCCCTCAGGTAATTTCAAAATACAGCCAAGTTTGAGATCAGTGGTCTAGCCCATGGCTCGTGAGCCACATGCGGCTCTTTGGCCCCTTGAGTGTGGCTCTTCCTAAGCCTTAGGAGTACCCTAATTAAGTTAATAACAATGTACCTACTTATATAGTTTAAGTTTAAAACATTTGGCTCTCAAAAGAAATTTCAATCGTTGTGTTGTTGATATTTGGCTCTGTTGATTAATGAGTTTGCCGACCACTGGGACTCTAGACAGGTGCTCCTCAAATGTTAATGTGCATACAAAACACCTAACATTTGAATTTTAAAATCTGGGGTGGGGCCCAGGAGTCTGGGACCATGACAGGCCCCCAAGTGCTGATAAGGAGGTGCCTGTTGGTCTCTAAGGGACAGGAAAGTGACTCAAGTTCTGGATGCTCGGTTACAGCCTTTGCTTGTTTATTTATTTATTTATTTATTTATTTATTTATTTATTTATTTTATTTAATTACTCATTTATTTTTTAAGCACCAGCCAGTACAGCTCCATTTGCATCTCTGTCATGACTTGGTGTTCTGTGTAAAATTTCACTTAGGAAGAGAAAGTTTTCAGCAAATCCCTTGGCCCCCCTGATAACTAAATGAAAAGAGGAAAACAATGGGAATAGGGAGGAGTCAGTCATTGACTGGTCACCTGTTGCTACTTCTCTGCTCCAGGGTCTGCTCTCCCAAGATGCGGTCTATTGCTCAGTTCCCCACTCTCTTAAGCA